GGGGCCGCGCGTCCCCCTCCGCCGCGGCAGACAGGAGCCGGCCGGCGGGCGGAGCGCGCTGGGGAGAAGGGCTTCGTTTTCTTCCTCCTCCTCCTCCACCTCCTCCTGCTCCTCCTGCTGCTGCTCCTCCTGCTCCTCCCTCCTGCCTCCTTCTCCTCCGCCTCCTCCTCCTCCTCTTTCTCCTCTTTCTCTTCCTCCTTCCTCCTCCTCCTCCTCCTCCTCCTCCTCCTCCTCCTTGGCCTCCTTCTTCTTCCCCTCCGCCTCTTCTTCTTCCTCCTCCTTCTTCTCCTCCTCGTCCTCCTCCTCCTCCTCCTCCTCCTCCTCCTCCTCCGCCTCCTCCCCCTCCTTCGCCATCCTTGTTCCTTATGCAGGGCTCCTCTGCGGGGTTGACGTTAGTTGGCCCAGATGAGCGACGGAGAAGAACGGACCTGAGCTGCCCGAGTAAGCTGCCCGCGTAAGGTCGCGCGCGAAAGAGACTTCGTTTCCAGCGCAGGTTGCGGCGCTGGCGGCCTGCGTACGGCCCGTTTCTTGTCGATCGGATCTCCGGCGGGGGGGGAACCGTCCCAAGGTGAAGGTGGGGTCAGGAAGCCACCCTGCTGGATGTTCACGCTCTCGTCTTCCAGGAGCCGCTCGGGGCGGCTCTCTGGGCCACTCCCAGGGGCGGCGCCGCCGCGAGAGAGGCCAGCCGGCGGGCGGAGCGCTCTTCCTCGATTTCTGGCTCTGAGGCCCGCCCATCGCGGCCCCGGGACATCAAAGGTGGTTCCGGGCCAGAAGGCTGGCCCCAGGCAACGGGCCGGGACCTCTGGGCCGCGGATTGAACATTTTTTTCTGTCGGCGGCGAGGCAGAGTTGGCTGCACCAACGATAGAGCTAGACGGGGGCATCGAAAAGCGAGTTGGCCAGCATGCAAGAGTGGGAAGAGGCCAGAGCGGGCGGCCGCGGGGGGGAAGGGAGAAGAAAAGGCAAGTGATTGAAAAACACAGTGTCGGATGTCGGGGGAGGTGCACCCCGGGCCCCGCCCACTCCGGCCGCCTGAGGCCCCGCCTGCCTGTGCCCTGTCTCCCTAATTAAAGCTGCGCGTAGCCCGCCTAGCTTTGAGCGGAAGAGGTTCGCTCTCGCCCCGCCGACCAAAAAATGTCGGGGGAGGTGGGGGTCATCCCAAGCGGGGTCAGGGATCAAACTTGGCGGGATGCTCACATTGCCTTCTTCCAGGGGCCGTCTTCCCCGTCTCCTCCTGCAGTTGCAGCTGCGGACTGTTTCTTTCGACACGGGTGAACCCTTCTCATCCTCCTCCCCCCCTCCTCCCCCTCATCCTCCTCCTCCCCTCCTCCTCCTTCCCCTTCTCCGCCCTCCTCCTTCCCCTCCCCCCCCTCCTCCTTCCCCTCCTCCCCTTCCTCCCCCTCTTCCTTCCCCTCCTTCCCCCTCCTCCTCCTGCTCCTCCGCCTCCTCCTCCCCTCGCTGCCCACCTGTCTGCGCGCCGGCGGCTTCGCGCCACCTCGCCTGCCGGCGGGCCGTCCCTCGCCGAGGGGCCCCTGGCGGCCCCCTCTCGTGGTGCCGGGGCCACTCCCCTGTCGGCGAGAGCGGAGAAGAGGGAGGAGGAGGAGCAGGAGAAGAGGGAGGAGGAGGAGGAGGAGGAGGAGGAGGAGGAGGAGGAGCAGGAGCAGGAGCAGGAGCAGGAGGAGCAGGAGGAGCAGGAGGAGGAGGAGGAGGAGGAGGAGGAGGAGGAGGAGGAGGAGGGGCCGCCCCTGGAGGCCGGGTCGGCGGCGCCTCGAGGAGAGGAAGTCTGGCGGAGTCTCGGCCTCGAGGCGCGAGGTCTGCGGGCGTGCTCGTCGGTCCTCGGCGTACGTCGGGCCTGTCCCTCTACAGGGGGAATCATCCAAGATAGTTAAAAGATAGCAGGGGGACGATGTCTGGAATATGTCTCTACATTTTTGGCATATTTTTGGGGCATTTTTCTCATCTTTCGCCCAAGATCCCCCTGCAGGGGGAACGGGCCCGACCTACTCCATGGCAGTTCTCCGGGGGGCGCCGCGCCGAGGGGCGTCGGGGGCGGTGCCCGGGTGTTCCCGAGCAGCCGCCGGAGGGGTCCGAGGCATGGCCCGATCTCACCAGGCCGAGGGGCCTAGCCTTTGAGAGTCGGGCCCGGCCCTCTGCAGGAGGAACGCAGGCAACCGTCGTCGCCGCGTGGAGGTGGGGGGGTCCACGCTCGCGCCAGTTCACGGGGTTGCCCTTGTCGGTCTCGGCTTCCAGGTCTTTGCTCTGCGCGTCGTAGACCTGTCCCGCTTTGATGCATGCTGCGGGCAATCCGCGATCCACGGCGACCTCGGATCGATTCCTGTCCGCGTGGAGGTGCGGCGGCAACCCGCACAGTAAGGATGAGCAACCTTCCCAAGGGTGCCCTTGCATCGTTACCTCCTCGGTCCATCCTTCGCCACTTTCGCTGGTCGCGCCCCGCTCGAAAAGCTTCGAAGTGAGCGTCCAAGGCCCTTGCAGCCTTCTCGCACATCCTTGCTGTACGCGTTGCCTGTACTCAAGAATGGTCAAAAAATAGTCAGCGGACTATCTTTAGTATGTTTGAATATGTTTTGTGTATTTTTTGGGTATTTGTTATCTCTCGTCCAAAATCTGCCTGTATGGGGGACACGCCCGACCTAAGGCTGGCCCTCCCAGAATGCGGCGGGGCTTCTAAAAACATCAGAGAAGTCGCCGCAGTTGCAGCCTTTGCCAGGGACGTGTTTTGTTGCGATGCAGAGGTGGGTTGGCGCGATGTGCCCGCTGTGTTGCCGAACCGAAGGTATTCGGAGAAAGCCGCGAGGTCTTCTCCGAAGACCTCTTCCTCCTCCTCCTCCTCCTCCTCCTCCTCCTCCTCCTCGACCCTCCTCCTCCTCCTCGACCCTCCTCCTCCTCCTCCTCCTCCTCCTCCTCTTCTTCGATCGTCGTCCTCCTCCTCCGCGCCCCTCCTCCTCCTCCGCCTCCTCCCCTCCTCCTCCTCCTCCTCCTCCTCCTCCCCTCCCTTCCTCCTCCTCCCCTCCTCCCCCCCCCTCCTCCCTCCTCTCCTCCTCCGCCTCCACCCTCCTCCACCCTCCCCACCCTCCTCCTCCTCCTTCCTCCTCCTCCTCCTCCTCCTCCACCTCCTCCCTCCTCCACCCCCTCCTCCACCCTCCTCCACCCTCCTCCTCCTCCTCCTCCTCCTCCTCCTCCTCCCCTCCTCTCTCCTCGACCCTCCTCCTCCCCTCCTCCTCCTCCTCCTCCTCGACCCTCCTCCTCCTCCTCCCCTCTGCTCCTCCTGCTCCTCCTCCTCCTCCACCCTTCTCCACCCTCCTCCTCCCACCCTCCTCCACCTCCCTCCTCCTCCTCCTCCTCCTTCTCCCTCCTCCTCCTCCTCCTCCTCCTCCTCCTCCTCCTCCTCCTCCTCCTCCTCCTCCTCCTCCTCCTCTCTGCCTCCTTCGAAGGCGGGAGGTCCTCCGAGCCTCTGGAGGAGTGCAGGCCCTGCCTCTCCGCTCTTCTCCAGTGGGCGCGCCGCCGATCGGTGGGGAGCGGCTGCCGGTTGAAGGGGGAGGGCAGCCGCCCGATGTCTCCGCAGCGCATGGCGCTCCGCGCGGGGCCGAGCCGGGCCCTGCCCTCAACTCGGGCCTGTCCCTCGACCCTGGGGCCCAGGGGCCAAACGCCACCGGGGGCACCCAGGGCACATCAAGGGCCCCCTCCCCTCCCGGAGCCTCCCGGGGGCGGCTCCGGAGCCTTCCCCGAAGCCCCGGGAAGCACCGCAGAATTCCCGGACGTCCCAGATAGCTTCCAGACTGTTCCAGGACGGCCCAAGATGGCTCCAAGACGGCCCAAGAAGAGTCGGAGGTTGATAGACCTCCTACCCTGACACGTCGATTGAGGAATTGGCCGTTTTCGGTTCGCGAGAGGGCGTCGCCGCCGTCATTTTTGCAGGTCCTGGTCCGTCGGTTTCGGTCCCAGGCCGTTTTCATTAAAGGGAGGTTTACTAAAGGGAGGCTTGTCCACCGCCGATACAGGGGGAATGTTCAAAAGTAGTAAAACAGCAGTATGGGGACGATTTTTTAGTATTGTTGAGCATGTTTGGAATATCTTGTTTGAGTATTTTAAGAGTTTCGCCCAGCATCGGCATGTAGGGGGACATGCCCGACCTGACCCTGTCCGCGTGGATGTGACGCGCGACGTGAAGCCAAAGTTCGGCGAAGGCGAAGCAGGCAGCCAGGGGCCGTGACGAGACCTTGCCTCCCGCCTCGGCATTGCTGCACCCCCCCTCCCCGGGTTGCTGGGACTCCCGGAGCCGCGCGACAGCCCCATGGGAGGAGTCGACGATTGCCGCATTGCCCTCTCTTTTTCATCTTCCTCCTCGTCATGATCCTTCTCCTCCTTATTCTCTCCCCTCCTCCTCCTCTTTCCTTCGTTCGCCCCCTTATTCTCACCGTTCTTCTTCTTCTTCTTCTTCCTCCTCCTCCTCCTCCTCCTCCTCCTCCATCGGCCCGATCTATATGTGCTCATCCCTCCTGGTTGTCTATTCACCGAGGAGCCTCGTGGAGTGCCTGATCGGACCTCGCCTCATCCTCCATCTTCTGTTCCCTCTTCGTCGCCGCGACTCCTGCCTCTCCCCTTCGTTTCCCCTCCCTCCCTGCTCCCTCCATCCCTCCGTCCCTCCCTCCCTCCCTTCCCATTCCTTTCCTTTCCTCCCTACCTCCCTCCCCTCCCCTTCCCTCCCCTTCCCTCCCCTCCCCTCCCCTCCCCTCCCCTCCCCGCCCCTCCCTCCCTCCCTCCCTCCCTCCCTCCCCTCCTCCTCCTCCTCCTCCTCCCCCTCCTCCCCTCCTCCTCCCTCCTCCTCCTCCCTCCTCCTCCTCCTCCTCCCTTTCCCCTCCCCCTCCCCCTCCCCCCCCTCCTCCTCCTCCTCCTCCTCCTCCTCCTCCTCCCCCTCCTCTCCTCCTCCTCCTCCTCCCCCCTTCCCCTCCCCGTGTCCCGCCCTCGCCCGGGCTCGAAACCAGGGAGGGGCGCGGCGCCGCCCCCCGCGGCCGGGTGCCTTCGCGCCCCGGTCGGGCCGGAGGCTGCGGGAAGGGGGCGGCTGCTGCTCCTCCCCTTGCTGCTCCGCCTCCTGCTCCTCCTCCCTCCTTCCTTCTCGTCGTCGTCGTCCTCCTCTCCTCCTCCTCCTCCTCCTCCTCCTCCTCCTCCTCCACCTCCTCCTCCTCCTCCTCTTCCCCGAGGAAGAGGAAGCCGCACAAACATACATTTCCAGAGGTCCACGCGGATTTCTTTGTTCGGCACTGGACCCCGCTTGGCGGCGCCTCCAGCGCAGCTTCTGTCGCGCTCCGCGCGCCAGGGAGGATTTTTTTCCGAGCGGACCTCAGACAGTTCATGTTTATGCCGTTGTTTCTTCTTTTATTCCCTCCTCCTCCTCCTCCTCCTCCGTTGCTTTTCCTCACAAATCAGTTCTCCCTGTCGCACTCCGAGGACAGTTTTCATGTATGACCCTGAAGGTTTAAACTTAGAAACAGCTTCACATATGGAGGGTGGGCCATTTTCAAAAAGTGGCTTTCGTCTGAGCGCCGCGCACATTCGTTTTCAACAGTTGTAAGAACTTCATGGATTGAGGGCAGGTCGCTTTCAAGATGTGGGCGCCGCGCGCATTCGTTTCAAATATTGAACGAATTTCGCGGATTGAGAGCGGGTGGTTTACGAAATGTGGCTCTCGACTTAGCCGCGCATTTTTGCTTTAAATACGTACAAGAGTTTCACATTTTGAGGGCGGTTCCTTTTCAAAATGTGGCTCTGTCCCTAGCGCCGCGCACACTCGTTTGTAACATGTGCAAGAGTTTCACGGATTTCCCTGATCAGCGTACCAGAAATGTTTTTTCGGAAGGATTCAGGATTGCGAGTGTGTAACAGTTGCGTTAGATTCGCGGTGTTCAAGTCCCGGAAACGGTGTTCTGGCACGCTTCAAGATCGTCAAGACGCAACAGGCAGGTTCATCCGTGGCGTTGGAATCCTGACAAACATGTTTTGGCATGCTTCAGGGTCTTCAAACGGTTATCTTCCAACGAGGCAGTTCACTGTGGAAATGAAGCGTTGTAGGGGCCTATGAAGAGGGAGCTTGGAGGGAGAGAGGGTTTGTTCTAACATCATTGATGACTCTTGGGTTTTCACTGGTCCTCCTCCTCCTCCTCCTCCTCCTCCTCCATCTCTTTCCCATTCGAGAGCTCCTCCCCTTTGCCGAGCGTTTTGCATGAGACTTCTTCACCACTTGTGCTCCTGAATCTCTCGTATGCCGGAGACTCGACCCTGGGGCCCAGGGGCCAAACGCCACCGGGGGCACCCAGGGCACATCAAGGGCCCCCTCCCCTCCCGGAGCCTCCCGGGGGCGGCTCCGGAGCCTTCCCCGAAGCCCCGGGAAGCACCGCAGAATTCCCGGACGTCCCAGATAGCTTCCAGACTGTTCCAGGACGGCCCAAGATGGCTCCAAGACGGCCCAAGAAGAGGCCCCCAAGACGCCCCAAGGTGGCTCCAAGAAAGCCTCCTCGAGGGCCCCGCGCGGCACACGTCGCCACATTCCCTCAGGAAAATGTGTATGTTTGGCATTTTGGCTTTTGTCCTGCCAGCATCCCAGGCGGCTCCGAGAGGCGCCCAAGAGCGGCCCAAGAGTGGCCCAAGGCCGCCGAAGAGGCGCCCAAGAGGGCGCCAAGAAATCCAGGATGGCCCCAAGGCGGCCCAAGAGGCGCCCAAGACGGCCCGAAAGCGTTTCAAGATGGCCCCAAGAGGCCCAAAAGAGGTCACCCAAGCGCCTCCCGAGCGGCCCTCCGATCGCCCTCGGCGCCAAGGTGGCCCCCAGAGCATCCCGGCGGCCTCCAAGAAGCCTCCAAGAAGCCCCCGAGAGGCTTCCAATGGACGCCCAAATGGCCCTCACGAGTCCCCTCAGCGGCCCCCGTAGAGACTACAAGATACTTCTTGCACGCCTCAAATCACCTCAAATCGAAGACACCTCCATTCCTCCAGAAGGTATACAAACGCTCGCCCTCACTCCTCCTCATTCTCTTTCCCCTCCTCTTCCCCTCATTCTCCTCCTCCTCCTCCTCCTCCTCTTCCTCCTCTTCCTCCTCTTCTTTCTCTTCTCTCATCCTTACGCCTCCCACCCCTCAACACCTTTTTTTGTTTCTCGCTCTCTCTCTCTCTCTCACTTTGCATCCTCTGTCTTTCATGCGCCCTCCTCCTCCGTGTCCATATTTCCCTCCTCGTCCAACCCTATTCCACACTCACTCTTCGTGTGTACCTTCCTCCGTTCCCTCCTTTCTCCCGCTCCCTCCTCCTCTTGCCTCTTTCCTCTACCTCGTACATTCGCCCTCCTGTCCCCTCTTTTTCTCCTTTCCGCCTCGGTGATTTCCCCTTCATCCTTCCTTCCTCCGCCCTGCCCCTCCCCATCCCTCTCCTCTTCACTTTGCATCCCTCCGTCCTCTCTCTACCCTCCTCCTCCTCCTCCTCCTCTCCTCCTCCTCCTCCTCCTCCTCCTCCTCCGCCTCCTCCTCCTCCTCCTCCTCCTCCTCCTCCTCCTCCTCCGCCTCCTCCTCCTCCTCCTCCTCCTCCTCCTCCTCCATCTCTCTTTCACGCCCGCCTCCTCCCTCCGCCTTTCCTCTTCCCCCCTCCCTCCTCCACATTTCGCTTCTCCCCTTTCCCGCCTTCCTCCCCCTGCTCGTCCTGCCACCTCTATCTTCCATCTTTTGCTTCCTGGCACCACCACCTTCCATATATATATATATATTATATAATATATATATATATATATATAATATAATATATATACATATATACACACTGGAAGCCCGACCCCATGGGGCCCCAGGCCGCAGCACAGACGGGGCACCAAGGGGTCCCCCCACTGGCGCCTCCCCTCCGGGGGGGCCTCCCCAGAGCCTCCCCCGAGCTCCGCGAGGAGGCTCCCGGAGCGGTGCAGGAGTTCCAACAGTCAGTATCCTTGAAAACGGTCCCCATCCCCATCCCCATCCCCTTCGAGACCCCCACCAAATTAGCACCCCAGTGGGGATACACCCCTCGAAACCCGAAGGGAACGACCTATCCCCATCTAGGGGGGTAAATCGGCCAGTGGGGCCCAGGCCACGCCGCCGGGGATGGGAATCGGTCAAACCGATACTCAAAGAGGGCTCCACGACCGTCCCAGAAGGCCCCCATGCAGGCTGCCCCAGGAGGTCCCCCGCATCGCAACGAGGCCCCGAGAGGCCGCCCGAGCGCCCACGCTGGACCTCCAGGAGGGCCGAAGCGGTCAAAAGCCCAGGGAATCCCAGCGGGTCTTCTTCTCTCCGTTCTGGAGTTTTTCCACGCGTCGCGAGCGTGTGGCTCCAAGACGGCCTCGGAGGCCCGGATGGTCCAGAAGCTCCTCCTCCTCCTTCCCCTCCTCCTCAGTCTCTTCCTCCGATTTCTCCTCCTCTTCCTCCTCCTCCTCCTCCGCCTCCTCCTCCGAGGTACAAGACTGCCCGAGGGTGGCCCAGGACTGCCGCGAACACCAATCCCCACTGCGACTTCAGACACCAAGGCGTGCTCATCCAAGCCAAGGGTTCGATCTTCTGGACACGCCCCCTCTGGCGCGCTAGACGGTTGGTCCAGCGGCAAGTTGAGTTCGAGCGCACGCGCGAAGCGCGCGCGATGGTTCCGGCACGGGAATGTGCAACAGTTGCAAGGATGGAGCACAGGTGGCTCTCAAAGTGGGGCTCGCCCCAGCGCCGCGCACGTTCGTCCGAACAGCTTGCAGCAATGGCATGGGCACTGTGCGGTTCCTTTTCGAACGGTGGATCTCGCCTTGGCGCGCTCATCTGAATAATTTGCAATAGTTACCAGGATGTAGGGCGGCTCCTTTTCAAAATGAAGCTCTCGCCTGAGCGCCGCGCACATTCCTCAACAGTTTGCAACAGTTACAAGGTACAAGGATGGACGGTGGTTCCTTTTCAAAGTGGAGTTCTCGCGTAAGACTTCCAGACATTGTCATAGCCGGCGCTTCAACAGATGTAGCAGTTGCACTAGTGGAGAGCGGTTGTTTGAACCTAGGGTTCTCTTAATAGTGAAGTCGACAATACATGAGTGGAGCGCATTAATTTACGTAGTGCTTTTCCACGCCGCGTTGTGACCTTAGTGTTTCCTACGAAGTGTTTTCTACGAAGTGTGTGTTTCACAGTGTTTATTTCGTGGTGTTTACTACGTAGTGTTTTCGACGTAGTGTTTGGCACGTAGTGCTATGTAGAGATTGCACGAGCATCCCATATTCCTTCGCGCACATGGGTTTTCCTTTTGCAGGCGTCTTTATTTTCGGAGCTGAAAGCTCTTGGGCAAACAGCGGGGCAACGCAACTATTCAGGCACTTGCTGCAGACCCTTGTCCGTAAAACAGACCACCACGTCGAAAACTGAACCTCAAGAGCACAGCGTAAACAAACACAATGTTAATGCGTACAAAACACGACGTATAACAACCACACTATTTACATACCAACACCTAACACAACATCGTGGCACCAGGTACAACACACAACGTAAAGACACAGCGTAAAACTCACAATGTGAAAACCACTACGTAGAAGAACACTACGCAAACACACCGCGCAACCGAACACAACGTAACAAAAACAGCACCTACAGAGTACTGCATGACATCGTAACACAAGGCCGACTACACTATAAAAGCAAACAACGTAACAACTCAGCGTGAAGTAACACAGCGTAACAAACACCAAGCAAAAACAACATGTGCAAGCCAGACAAATGATTCCTGAGAAAAGCCCCAATCAACATCTGGTTTGGGCTATAGGGCTATCGGGCTATAGGGCTATAAGGCAATATAGCTAGAAGGCTCTGGAGCTATAGGGCTACAGGGCTATGGGGCTATAAAGCTATAGGGCTATAGGGCTATAGGGCTGTAGGGCTACAGGCCTTAGGGCTGTAGGGCTATATATGGGCTATAAGGCTATAAGGCTATAGGGCTATAGGGCTATAGGCTATAGGGCTAGAAGGCTATAGGACTGTAGGGCTATTAGGGCTTTAGGGCTATACGGCTACAGAGCTACAGGGCTATAAGGCTACACGGCTGTAGGGTTATAGAGCTACCAGGCACCTGGGCACCTGGGCACCCGGGCACCCGGGCACCCGGGCACCCGGGCACCTGGGCACCCGGGCATCCGGGCACCCGGGCACCTGGGCACCCGGGCACCCGGGCACCCGGGCACGCGGGCACGCGGGCACCTGGGCACCGGGGCACCTGGGCACCCAGGCACCCAGGCACCTGGGCACCCGGGCGTGCCGCCGAAGTCGACGCCAAACCTCACCTAACCATTTGAATCCGCTAGAACCCCTACAGTGGCAAGCTCTGATTGGGGAATTTACAACGGACCTAACAAGACCGCAGCACATCGTAAACGGCGCCGAGTTGCAACACCACATCAAACACACAGCGGAGCCAATACAGTTCAAACCACCACGTAACTCCGCCACGTAAACAAACATACTATAACAACAAATCATCCACAACGTACCGCATGACATGGTCAAACCAAGCCGACTGAAAACATCCATCGTAAAGACAACAGCGTAACAACAAAACACTGCGTAGAAAACGCTGCGTAGAAAACACTGCGTTTGGGTTATGTCAACCCTCTCATCACACTCTACCACAAGGGCACGCCTCCAAGAGCGATAATTTCAAACAGGCGCCTGCCCAACAAACCATAGCACAACATAACGTGGAACATGCTGCTTAGAAGGCACTGCGTAGAAACCACTGGGTAGAACACGCTGCGTTTGGGCTTTGTCAACACCTCCCATCACACTCTACCATAAGAACACGCCTTCAATAATGATAATCGAAAGGCGCAAGCCAAACAATGAAAACGGGTCCGCACATAAGAATCATAAGTGCACGCAAACCGTTTTTTTGCATGCGCCTCTAAATTGTTTTCTGGAGGCGCGGTCTTGTCTGCAGCAAGTGTCTGGTTTGTTGCGTCGCCCCGCTGTTTGTCCGAAGGCTCTCAGCTCCGAAAATACAGGCGTCTGCAAAAGGAGCACCAATTTGCGCGAAACAATGTGTAATGCGCGTCGAAGTACCCCGAAGGTACTTGCGGGGTACTTCGCGGTCCTTTGCAGACGCCTTCAAGCATGGGGCTGAGAATTCTGCGGTAAACAGCGGTGCGGCCGTTATCACAATTTCACATTACGACAAACAAACACCACTTGAAACAAACATTACGTGTAAAAACAAGCATCCACAAAGTGCATCGTAATACCAAGCCGATAAAAAAAAACACACACACACAGCGTAAACAACACAGCGTAAACACACACACAGCTAAAACACCGCCGCGTAGAAAACACAGCGTAGAAAACATTGCGTACAAAGCACTGCGTAGAAAACATTGCGTGGAACGCATTGCGTAGAAAACATTGCGGAGTTTAATCGAAGACGCCTACGGCGAATCACCGCCGCCCCCTGCCTTTTTGGAAACGCCGATGTGGCCGAAAGTTGGACTAGAGCTTGGCCAAGCTATCGGACCATGAGTTCCCCGAGTCGGTTTGGAAAGCTTTCGGGGAACACATGGGAGAGAATGATTATGAACAGGAAGAGGAAGAGGAAGAAATAGAGTAGGAGGATGAGGGTTGTTAGGAGTCTCTTGGGGCACCCTTGGGGTCTGTTGGGGGCTTCTTGGGGGCCTCTTCGAGGCCTCTTGGAGGCATCTTGGGGGCCTCCTTGGGCCTCTTGGGGGCCTTTGGGGGCTTCCTGGGGGTCTCTTTGGCCGTCTTAGGGCGTTCCTGGTCCGTCTGACGCCGTCTGGAGCCGTCTTGGGGGCCTCTCTGGGCCGTCTTGGGGCCCTCTTGGGGCGCTTCAGGGCCGTCTTGGAGGCCATGTTGGGCGTCTTGGAGGCCTCTTGGGCCGTCTTGGGGCGCTCTTGGGGCCGTCTTGGGGGGCCCTTGGGCCGTCATAGGGCCTTCTTGGAGGCCTCTTGGGCGATCTTGGGGGCCTCTTGGGCCGTCGGAAGGCCGAAAAGAAGAAAACGCAAAAAACCTTCAAAAACCTAAGGAAAACCAATGATTTTGGCCTCTTCGGGCTCTCCTGGAGAACGTCTTGGAGGCCTCTTGGGCCATCTTGGAGGCATCTTGGGGCCATCTTGGCCGTCTTGGAGGGCATCTTGGGCCGTCTTGGAGGCATCTTGGAGCCATCTTAGCCGTCTTAGAGACCATCCTGGCCGTCTTAGAGGCATCTTGGAGGCCATCTTGGAACCGTCTGGGGCAGGAAATTGGGGAATTGAGCTCCTGGGCATCCTTTCCGGGTGGCCGGCGGGACGGGCCGAAGCCCACTGGGGAGTTCTTTTAGAAAAAGAACCAAAACCAAAACCTGAAAAATCCAGCACGCCGGCACCCCTGCAAGCAGGGGGCGGCGGATCGAAGACGCCTACGGCGAATCACCGCCGCCCCCTGCCTTTGTGGAAGCGCCTATGTGGCCGAACGTTGAGGCCAGACCTGCCAAGCCATCGGACCATGTGTTCCCCGAATCGGTTTGGAAAGCCTTCGGGGAACACGTGAGCGTCTTGATGGTCATCGTCGCCGTCTTGGAGGCCTCTTGGGCGATCTTTCGGCGATCTTTGGGGGCTCTTGGGCCGTGTCGGGCCGTCGGAAGGCCGAAAAAAGGGAAATGCCCAAATCCATCAAAAACCTTGGGACAATCAGTGATTTTGGCATCTTTTGGCCTTCCTGGAGGCCCTCTTGGGGGCCTCTTGGGCCCTTTTGGGCCAGCTTCGAGCCAACTTCGGCCATCTTGGTGGGTTCCTGGCACGTCTGACGCCGTCGGGAGCCGTTTTGGGGGCCTTTCTGGGCCAACGGGGGACCCTCTTGGGGCGCTCCAGGGCCGTCTTGGAGGCCATCTTGGGCGTCTTGGAGGCCATCTTGGGCGTGTTGGAGGCCTCTTGGGCCGTCTTGGGGCCCTCTAGGGGCCATCTTGGAGGCCACTTGGGCCATCAGGGGGCTCTCTTGGGGGCCTCTTGGGGGATCTTGGGGGCTTCTTGGGCCGTCTTGAGCCGTCGGAGAGCCGAAAAGGCGCAAATGCCAAAATCCTTCAAAAACCAAGGGAAAATCAATGATTTTGGCCTCTTCGGACTCTCCTGGAGGACCTCTTGGAGGCCTCTTGGGCCGTCTGGGAGGCCTCTGGGGGGCCTCTTGGGCCGTCTTGGGCCGTCTTGGACTCTCTTGGGCCGTTTTGGAGGCCGTCTTGGACCATCTCGGGCGGACTTGGAGGCCATCTTGGGCCATCTTCGCGATTTTTTGAGGATGTCCCGAGCGAAACGGCCGTTTTTGGGCACGGTGGCGGGACGGGCCGGAGCCCACTGGGGAGTTCTTTTGGAAAAAGAACCAAAACCAAAACCTGAAACATCCAGCACGCCGTGCACCCCTGCAAGCAGGGGGCGGCGGATATAATGGCTTTCGGCCCATTCCGCCACCGTGCTTGCGTTGTGGGTCATAGGCCCCTAGATTGTTCGTTGGGATGTTTGCCTCTTGGGGTCCTCTTGGGAGGCCTCCTGGAGGCCTCTTGGTGGCCTCC